TACGATACGTTTCTTACACGGCGTTTACATGAGACAATTTTCACAAGACAATAGCAACACATTCATGCAAATATCAAAATGTGTTGATATGACATGCCTCGGTCCAATTCTGGGTAATCTTCGAGATATTCTTCCAACCGGTTTTTGTCCACCATCTATTTTTCTTCGTTGTCAATCAATGTTGATAGTACCTTCTCCGACAGAAGTACAAGAAAATGATCATTTCATACCATTATTCCTGAGAATGGCACTGATAGTGACTATTCCGTGCACTTACAAAAGTATACCTTATGATTTTTTTTGTCCCTCAGTGAATGAACTCTAGGAGAGAATATGCAATATATGTGGTAAGTACTTTGCATCAAAGAAGGCAATAAGCATTCACAAAAAGCTTCACTTGATCTTTTCTGAGTCTCAGGGTCGAAGAGCAAAGAGGATAATTTCATGAGGCAGGCGAGAGCTCATGTGTGTCATCACAGAAAATGAAACAGAGGATATTGTTGAGTGGGTGAATCAAGAAGAAATTTCAGTGGACTGTGGAAATGAAATTCCTTTGAGTGAAAAAGAAGAACGAGATATCCCTGTGGCTACTCCTCTTTCAGATTGGCTGGCTGGACCGTGGACCAAAGAAACCGACAACAAAGAATTACTAGTATATCTATGTAATGAAGTTTTTAAGACTGACTAGGCATACATCCTATATTTGTTTGATGGAAATATATAGTATTTTCTAATGTTTAATTGAAAAAACATGTCTAGGGGATTTTTAATCTTACGTAAGATCTGCGGCGGGGGGAGGGGGATCAATTAAATCTTACAATTTATTACGTGTGGGGAGGGGGGGTTCAAAACAGGCGAAAACTCCCTTACGTAATATATAGACAGCCCCTTAGAAGCGTGACAACCCTGATGGAAAATATTTTCTGACTCAACAATACCTTCCTGAGTTCTCAACAATACATTTGATATCCATATTGCGATATTTTAAATAAATTGTGTAGAATCGAAAATAAGTGGCAACCTTACACTATATCTTAAGGGATAACGTTTTGTATATGGGGAAAGCATTGTTTAAGAACCTTCTCCTGGTACCCATGAATAGTATTATTTTACCTTTTTTCTAAACAAAAAA